CCGAGATCTCTTAAATGCTAATTTATTTCTTAAACTTCCCTAATATAGAGAAGATATTCGTGTTAAAGTACTATGTAATAAGAAAATTATTACGAGAGAATAATATTTAAAATTTTATTAACTTGTAAATGACTATTTATTAGGAGGGTTGAATATAAGTTTCTTGTGGAAATAATCTACGGTGGTGTGATATGTCGCTAACCAGTTCATTCTTATAATTACATCAAAGTTCCTCATATCAATATCTATTAGGTCCACACTCAATTTTTTATCTGCTATGTTTATGATACAAACTTTGCATATAACCTCCCCTAATAGTGTTATACTCCAAAGAGTAGACACAAACAACAGAGATTCAAAATTTTCAAGTAATACATCAAAGTTTGGTGTAAAAATATATGAGACAAACGAATATAAAGCACTAGTATCAATCAAAATATGTGCGAGGTGATTACAGATAGTATACGTACCCTGTATCACGCTTGGATTGGCTTCAATATCCTATTGAGTGAGGTTGTAAACTTTGCCCTGAATGAGAGGTCTGGCCTGGTTCTGATTTCGCGGGCACGCTCTTGCGTAGTGTTGGGCACTTTGACATATGTCGTATGTATTGTTGAGACGACAACAAAGTCGATCTTTATGATCCTTGCCGCAGTGTTAGCAAATCCTATCGCGTTCTGTTACCAGACCATGAGGAGGAACTTTAGTCACTGGCCTAAGCCTCTTGTTCTGTTGAATCGATGCAGAGGATGCTGGTCTGTAGTGTGAAACCGAGGGTATAGGATTCCCCACTGCTTGAGGAAAGATGCGAAGGTTTCTCTCCATTAGCTGTGCCTTAGCCAGAACAACTTAGTAGATACTAAGCTCAAATATGTACAACTGCTGTATGATCTCAGGACGGAGGCCCTACTCAAACTTCCTTGCCTTTGTGCCTTCATCTATCATGCTTTCAGGGGAATACCGACCCAACTTTAGGAGCCTTTGGACATACTCTCATACAGTTATATCGCCCTAGATTAGTTGTGCAAATTTCATTTCTTTTAAATGCTGGAGTTGCTCTGGAAGGTACTTTACATTGAAAGCTATCAGGAACTGTTCTTAAGTAATTGAAATGTGCAAGGTGGCCTATTTGAGCTACCACCAGTGACCTACCTCTCCCACGAGCATGTAGGTGGCAAGTACGACCTTTTGTTCAGGAATCATTTTAAGAGTTGCGATGTCCTTCTCAGTCTTAACTAACCAATACTCGACCTCTTCAAAAGAGGATGCCCTTATAAAGGTATATGAGTTTAGTCTTTTATACATTTCAATGTAGTCTGGGTCCATCATGGATGAAACTGCATCCTGTAGAAGAGGGACTGGATTGTGCTGTGGAGGGACTAAGTGGCCCTGTGGTGGTGCCGGATGATATGGTGGTGGCACTGGATATTACTGCGGCAGTGCCAGATGATACAATGGAGGAGCAGGGTTGTATCGGGGTGGCTTCGGATCTTCTCACTACAATGGTGGCTCAAATTATGGCAGTGGGGGACGGTCAGACAACTCCCTCATTTCTTCTCGAGTCTGCTGGGCAGAGATGAGTCTCTCCAGCATCTCAAAGAGTTTGTCAATATCCTTTCAAAGTGAACCATCTCGGGCTGCTCGATTTAGTGAGGGTCTTCCTCTCTGCATATCCTTGTACCTATATTTTATAAGGAAGGGTTGAGTGATAGTTTGTATTTGGTGTTTTTAAGTATTTGTGCAAGGAATAGTTCCTAGGAACGTGGCTCTGATACCAATTGTAAAATCACGTGACCTTAAAGGAAATGAATTTATAATTTTAATACAGAAATGAATAATAAAGTTAGAGTTTACATTCCTTACACAATATTTAGAATGC